ACAACAAAAGACTTATAATCATGGAAAATAGCTGAGGATGAAATCTCATCTCTTAGCCAAATGCCACATCTCATTGTACTGTAGCAGTTATTTAAAAGTCATGTCCTTGTTTTCTTGAAACTATTTAATCTGAAATCTCTGAGTCAAGAAAACATACCCTAACATTTAAAAAAAAATTATGGTGTAGCTTACACAGTTTGTGTGTGCCAGCAAAAACTATTTTGTCATTTTAGTTTACTAAATTTCAACTCATATTTTATTGTCTCGTGTAAGTGACTGTATTTGAAGGAGGAAGTTAGGTGTGGTCACCATACAGTTTCTATCTTTAATAAATACCTAAGTAAGTACCTAGTATCTTCTTTATCATCTCAAACATTATAGATCCTGGAATTCTTAGAAAGATAAAAGTAAACAATTTTGGCATAAAATTGAAATTAATTACAACTTTACAATTTGGGCACACTGAGTTTCCTTTTCCTTTTTCTTTATTTAACATGCATGCTGTAGACGTACACTGAGAGATTTGTTCAAATGCAGCTTGCTTTCTGGAACTCATACACTGAGAATATTTTGAAGGCAACTTAGGGCCCAAATTTATCTCACTGAGAGTTCTGACAAGATTTGATTTGCCTACATAATGAGAAAAGTGAATGAATGATTAGAGATCTACTAAATTTTTCAGCTAGTCCCATCAGGTTGCAGCATTAGCAGTAATTGTTCATAGCTAAAAACTTGAGCAAGTGAAAAAGCCATGTAGTCAAGGCATGTGTCATTATGGTGCCATCTTGAACCCTTCCCACGGGCACTTTGTCGAATTACTAAATTTGTGACGGGAACAATTAAATTTTCTGCTGAAGATCCCAGAGAGCATCCATTCAACCACATGGTGCTAAAAATACCATGCCAACTAGAAATTCCTAAGCATAGGATAATACAAAGTATTCATGTATAAGAGGTGTATTAAGGAAGCCAATCATAGAAAGAAGGCAGAGCAGAGGGAGGAAGAAAATCAAAAGGAATCGTGATGACATTAAATCAAGTATGAAGTTCCTGAAATTCCAATTTGTATTCGTTCTTAAGCAAAGCAATTTATTCTGATTTAACTAAAGAAAAAATACAAATATCTCATGGTTAACAGTTTTTCACTGTTTTCTAGCTTTTCCTCCTACCTTTTAGAGTCAAGGATGATCTGTCCTTGGCTCCTCTTTCTGCATAGCACTCCTTGCAAGGCTCCATCATCCATGTTCATGGAGTCAGCTAGCATCTCTGGATCATAGAAGTCCCCATCCAGGACCTTTGATTTCCTTTTCTTTCCTTCCCCCTGTTCCTGCATTTCTAAATTCTTACTGCATATGTATCTAATTAAACTCATTCTCTATCTTTAATAAATACCTAAGTAAGTACCTAGTATCTTCTTTATCCCAAACATTATAGATCGTGGAATTCTTAGAAAGATAAGAATTGTACTTTGTAAAACCAATCATAATAGTAATTACATATTAACCAGCTACTATGTATTATATTATGAGCACTTCACATGAATTGCCATTTTAATTCTTCCAGCAAACTTCAAAGGACACATGGTATTGCTTGCTTTACAAAAAATAGAAACAGAGTTGGAGATTATCTAGCTGCAAAGCAAGACCAGTAACAAGTGAAGGAACTGGCATTTCAACCTAAGGTGGTTCTGACTCCAAAGCCTGTGTTCCGACCATACCATTAGAATGTTTTAAATCACTTTCGTCATCCAGCATTGAAACCTCAGACATGTCTTTGATGTTATCATATACTTTTTACCGGCACAATTATTTATCTTGCTTGTCTGAAGATAAACCAATGATAAAATTTTTGAGCCTCATGAGGATTGATTGTACTGTGATATACTTGTATATGTCATATACAAGTATATATATATATATATATATATATATATATATATATATATATATATATATATATATATATCATAGTGCCTTGTAGAGTCCTGAGAGTTAGGTTGAAAAATCAAACATGTTTGTTGAGCAAATGAATGTCATTTGAATCCCATATTCAGATTTATTTCCTACATCTACTCTCTTTGTTCATTCCCTGCAGTTTACATATATTTCAGTCCTTTCCACACCTGGAGCTTGGTTTTTCCAAAAACCTGAATGGTTTTCCTTGTTGTAGCCTCTTTTTTTGGCTTCAGTTGATCACAGCCTGTGTCTTCTCAGGCACATTCTCAACTTAAATCTTCAACAATACCCCTTTGCCTATGGAATCAAGTCTCCCTCCTAGCATTCATGACCTCTTGAATAATATCACTTCATTCTCCTAATGTCCCAGGAAAGCGAAAGCACAGCATTGTGGCTTTAACACTCATAACTCATTCCTGTCTTCACTTGGTTCCCATACTTGTGAATCAGAGGATTATTTTCACAGCATGACAAAATTTTCCTGAACCTTCTAGGTCCAGCACCTCCATAGAAATTGCTAATTTATCCAGTAACAAAGTGATTCATTGTGTACCTTTCCTAAGCAATTATCACTATATTCTCAGCATTTTAAATATACACTTTATAAATAGGAAGTTGGTGTACACGCAAGCAAACCCAATCCGTGGCAGCCTCTGCTTTCTGCATAGGGCCATAATGGCATTCAGAAGAGTCATGAGGATTGGGGGAATATCGCAACAAATATATGTTCCTTGGAGACCAGTCTGGTGCTCAGACTTTATATTCATTGTAAGTTGCGACTGCCAAGAGAAGGCCAAGGGTAACTTGTCAATATAAAGTGCAATAGCATAAAAGACTGATGTTAAAAATATCTATGAAGTGAGAGAAAGAAAGAGAGATCTGCTCATCCAATCATCTTTAGCGAATGAGGCCCACTGGCATCATGGTCTTGTCTGTTAAGTTTTCATTTTCTATCTCTCACTGTTTTTTATCCGATTAGATGCACAATAAACCAGACTGAATAAATGAATTAGTGAGAGGATGACTAGATGGGCAGATGGGTGCATGGAGATGGATGGAGAAAATGGATACATTTTCAAAAGAACACAGCATGTGGATGGTTCTAGGTGCTTATTAAATCCTTGGCTTCACAAAGTAGAAACTTGTAAAAAGAAAAGAAGTGCAACAGTATTTATTATTCACTCTACAGACATTTAATGGATCTTTCTACATGACAGGGACTCCGCTGAGTCCTTTGTAACCATGCCTGTGCTCACTGGCAAATATATCTTACCTCGCAGAAAAATTCTGCACATTTCAGACACAAAAGAGTAATAAACTGTGGGGTAGGTGAGCTGCCACATAACAGCTCTATCAATGCAATATATTTACCTCCTAGCGTTTAAAATGCAAACACACCTTTAACTTCCAAGATCAATTATACCTATAGAAGAAGGCTTGCTGGGAACAGCGTTCTGTCTTGTCAAGGACTCCTTATCATGGAGGAAGAATAAACACTCTAATTAATTTTTTTTTTTTTACTTTTTTGTTTGTTTTCTAATTGGATCATTCATTACTCCTTAGAATTCAAATCAACATCAGATTTATAGTTGGAGGCTATTGAAATATTGATTTGGTTATAGAAATGTCAGGCTTGGCAGGTAAGCTGTCTTGCTGCAGGAAAATGACTTTGCTTTAGCAAACTTGTTTTAAAAGCCTCTTAGAATGTAATGAGCAAGCAGTTTGCATGTGTACCAGGCACAGGTGGAACTTTTTAAATTTTATTGTCTCTTAAGCATTCTAGTAAATTGCTGGAATGAAGGCAGCAAATCTGAACCATAACATACAAATCTGAGTTATCAAAAAGCTGATGTTTTCCTTCTACTTGCCCAGGTTACACTTGAAGTGAGATACAGGGTCACTAAATCGTACAAGGTGCCATTATTAAGACAGAGAGTGATGGTCCTGCAGATAGATATGGGTTCTACATGGTTCTGCAGTTTCTAGCCCTATAAACTCCACAAGCCATGTCATCACTCCATAGATCTTAGACACCTTTAATGTGAAAGTAACAGACCTAGCATGCTTATCTCAGTATGGTGGTAAGAAGAATGACTCGGCATTTTAAAGTACCATCCTCTGTACTTTTAAAACACATTTTTCCTTGGGGAATGACTGTGTAAATCTTATACATATGTGCTTCTCTACAGAAAAAAAAAATCATTTATTGTATTTCCAATAAGCCAATCAGAAAAAAAGTGGGGGTGATAAAGGAAAAGAGGACATAAAATAATTCTATCAATGGAAAGAATGCTATATAGTGGCTAACTTAGAAGAGTATTCTGGTATATAGGAGATTATTTTCAGAACTAACAATTGAAGCAAATCTTTTCATACACAGACCTCTCTCTCCTCCAAAGACCTATACAACATATTCTTATGCTTAACAACCAAGTTTTCCTCCCCCCTAGTAAATGAGAACTACCTACTGGAAACCAAAAGAAAGCTTCTACCTACTCTTCTCATATAAGGTCAAACAGATTAATTATCCTTGTCCATTCACACAGTCAGAGATGGGGGTTTCCTGGAAGAATAACCCTTTGCCCATCCATCCATAGAGCATCTCACTTCTCCATCTTATAGGCAGGGGCAATAGCTAAACCATGATGAATTGGCCCAGCCAAGGCCAAGTTCTCTGCTACTAAAAGACTTGAGCAGGTTATCAATTGTAGAGTAGCATATTGTGAATTTTATATCAAACTCAATGGAGAAAATGATAACAAATTCACTGTGATTGCCATCTCTGTTGTTCACTTTCCTCCTATCCAATAAAGAGCTTCTGCAAAGAAGAGTATTATATCGGGATGAAAGAGCAACATCATTGTTTTCAATGCTGGGAGCTCAGTACCTAAGCAAGGTACTCTGCTCTCTCCCTTGTTCACCTCGATCTGATGATTCAGAAAAGAAACATTTAATCTCACCTAACTGATCAGCTTAGATATTTTAATGTTTTAGCTATAAACAAAGATACTCTTTGAGAGTATCTTTGCACTTCAGTGGCCGAGACTCTAGAATGAGCACTGGAAAAATTAGCCCAGGGCCTCTGTCTCTGCCCACGGTTTTCAAATTAAGAAGGATGCCCTTGTTCTCAGTGAAACAACCTTAAATTGTGCTTCAGGAGGACTCAGGACATCAGCTCTCCAGGCCCCTGGCAGTGCAGTGTAAGTACCATATGTAGTCCTTCCAAACTAACCAATGCTTTTCCCACTGGGATCAAAATTTGGGGAATTCCCCTTTTAATCTGCTTTTCAGTCCAAAATAGCATTTTTACAAAAGGTGAAATGATAACTGAATTTTTTTTTCTATACTTTTGTGGAACTCTTCCAAAAATTAGAAATACCTTCAGTCAGGGGAATCTTAAGTCATCAAGCCACACGATGTTAAAACTGTATGTGGTTTACTTTGAGAACATAGTTAGTGAGGGCTTGACACATATATTTTGTGGTACCATTGTGGAAATACCAATCATATAAAGAAAATTAGTTTATGGTCCCATGACCATATTGGGTTGTCTGAAAAACCGGGGGTATCAATGAGGCATTTCCTGATGTATACTCATACTATTTATAAAAGATTAGAAGAGATATAATTCCCAATGTGGAGCTTAGATTGTTCAATCACTTACTCAAAGAAACAGTGGGAGAGGTGAGTAAGTTAGAATCTGCAACTCCCAAAGCAGAAAATCAAGCTGATTTCTTCTTAAATTATCATACTTGGTTTGGTTCAGATTCCCAGAAGTAGAAAAAAAGGGGGGGGGGTGGTAATTTCAAAATTTTTTTATTTGTTGTTGTTTTCAAATTCAAAAAACCATTTTGGCCAATTCAATGTTTTCCAAGAACAAAAGCACAGCAAGAAAACAAGTTTTCCGAATATTTCACTAATGTATTAATGGTAATAATCTCTTTAATTTGCCAACTGAGGGTGGAAATATACTTGAATTTAGTTTTAAATCTCAGATGCCTCAATATCCCTATTTTTGTACCAGAGCAATACATTGTGTAATTATCCATTGGAAACTGTAAGGCAATTTCCTTGAAAGGAGAAAAACACAGATGGTATTACATGTGAGTTGTTACAGAGTTATTTCAATCCTTTTGGAGTTCCTTTCCTACAAAGCAACTAAAATTTAATCTTTCAATTGTAGAGGGGATGAAAAATTATATAGCAAATAGTTAAGTAGTTGGCCAGCATTTTAGTTTACCCTGAAAATAACTCTAGAGATACCTCAAGATCTAAAATATATTGACTTTTTTTCTGATATACTAGGTTTCCCTAATTGGTTAACCAGATTTTTTAGATGTTATGAAAATGGGGAGAAACAAATATGAATAGAAGTCAATATTTCTTGATTATTCATCATAATCCAGATATATATAACCCAGAAATACTCTAAAGGAATTAAAATTCTCTTGTACCTGCTCATTGCTTACTTTAAATAAAAAAAAGTGGATGTGTAACCGATGTGATTCTGCAATCTTTATAAAAGGGAAAAATGGGAGTTCATAACCCACTTGAATCAAATGTATAAAATATGATATGTCAAGAGCTTTGTAATGTTTTGAACAACTAATAAAAAAGTGAATTCTTTTTTTAGGAAAGAAGTTATAGATCTTTTAAAATAAATCATTAATCCATTGTCAAAAAAAATCAGTGTTCATCTAAGTTTCCTGGGGCCCAAAGAAGTGTCAGAAGATGAGTTTTCCAGGCTGGGGATATAGCTCAGTTGGTAGAGTGCTTGCCTTGCATGCACAAGACTCTGGGTTCAATCTCCAGCACTACCAAAAAAAAAAAAAAATGAGTTTTCCATGGAGATTCAATCAATGTAAAATGTACTATAGTATTTAAATTGGCAGGAAATTAGAAAAGGGCAGATTCGGTATATCTAAAGGCTTGTTGGGGGTAAGCAGTTCACTCCATTCATGAACATCATTTCCCTTCTTGTATTTATATCATACTCTACAGTATACATTATATATTAAATTGTAGGACTTAAAATTCTCATAGTAACCATGAAACTGCAAACTTCATAGTGCAAATGAGAAAAGAGAGTTTCAGTTGTTTTCCAAATAACCTATATCTGAGATTCATCCCAGTTCTTCTGGTGAAAAATTCACACCCTCTTCATTTGCAGGCCAATATGACTATTTCACTTCTCTCAAATCCTGGCCCTTGGATGCCTCACAAAAGCCAAATCTGCCATCTCGCTAATTTCCAGGCCACCATCAGTGACACTACTCACTTGACACCCTACATTAGAGAATAATTGCCATGAAATGCCTTCTTACTTTCATTTTAAAAAATATCTTTTGAAGTGTGAATATTTAAGCAATTATTTTTTTAAATGAGTTAGAAACAGACACTCACATTGTCTCATTTGAAACTGTAATAATTTACATTTTTATTTACATTTACATTTACTTTTCATTTACTACTTACATTTACTTTTAAAAGTGTTACAATTTACACTTGAAAGAACCAGGCTTTGAATTCCGACATACTGTCAAAGGACTATGCAACCCCAGACACATGATCTTTTTGGACCTCATCTTCCTAGTCAAATGGGAGTCTGGAGTAAGGGACCTCTAAGGATATGCTCTGCTCTGTGATTCTTACAACTTTTTTTTTTTTTTATCATAGATAAATGCCAATCAGACTCATGAATGCAAATGTCACTGAATTATCTTAGACCATTTGGCTCACCCACAATTTCAATTTTCTCTACGTTGTGTCCACAGCATTGAACATGACACCTTGTAGAAAGTATTTGACAAAAATATAAAATAAACAAGTAATGATCTAGTAGTAAGCATCTCAATAGATCCAACCTCCAATGTTATAAAATGAGGAATTTTTTTCCTGGTTATACAAAAAACCCACTTGATCATTATACCATTGTTATATATATCAATCCAGATTTGTGCATCAGAGGTAAATTTCCACTGGCATCAGGTAAAAATGTAGAGAAGACGAGAGAGAGAGAGAGAGAGAGAGAGAGAGAGAGAAAGCGAAAGAAAGAAATAAGTTTATATATAGTTTTAAAATGTGGTGTTGGTATATATTCTTTGCTTGGGTAAAAAAATAAGCATGGAAACTATTTTCTTTTAAAATCACTTGCTTAGTGGTGCACAATTTAAATGCTAGACTTCCCCAAATAAATGTCTTTACTTAGCTTCTAATAGTAGATTACACTGATGTAAGGCCATTTAACTATGTCTAATATATTATAGAAATAGCAAATGTAGACTCAAAGGCTATTTTCCAGAATCAGTTAAATTCATTTAAATTAAACATCACATATTTATATTCAACTCTAATCGTGCAGCAAAAATAACTGCACTTTCTGCCATACCTCCGTTTTCCTCTTCTCTTTTGTTGAACAAAGTTAGTTCCAACTCTGTCCCATCTTCCTAGATTCACCTGGTTCTTACCATCAAACTGTTAAAGGATGTCAGGGTTGACTAAATTGCTCTATGAATATTTATTTCTTTATTTGACACATTTATATCTAAAGAAATCCCCTATAAATAATTTTGTCTGACATATGCTCAATCTTTTAAAATAGTCTCCACAATTCTGAGTGACAAACTCAGTTTCTAAAACCACCTTTTGAAACTCTCAGAGGCAGATAAATCATAATGGCTACAAAACAACTACAAGTTTTAAAAGATTCTTATTATTCTAAGAAAATAACAGCTCTGTTTGATTTCCATTACAGTACCCAGGAAAGGAAAATAAGGGCTTTCAAAAGAAGTGAAACTATTTTTTAAATGATTAGGGGACTTCTGACAGTGTTTGACAATTCCGGATGATTATTACCTAGAGTGAATTGATTAATACCTCTGACAAAATTAATAAATAGACATGTTAGGGTTTTAATTGAACACAGTTTTGTAAAAAACATGTCTCTCCAATCTCCTTAATATACATATATACAAATATATAATATATGTAAATATATGTATATATAAATATATAAATATATTCATATATATTTAATTTAATCAATGAAATAAACAGAAAAAATACCTATGTGTCTGTAAGCCATACCATGGTTTATAAATTTGAATTTCATTTGATCCTTCCCAGATCATTGCATTGCCCTCAAGATGATTTTTCTTCATTAAAATCTGCAGTGGAGTGATTCATTTAGGGAGATAAAAGGGGAGCCCTAGGGTCAGTAGAATGACATAGTGTCCAGTGTCAACTCTTGTCCTCTTTTGTTTTCAAAGTTTGGAGTCAACCATTTCCTGGTTTGTTTCTGCCCACAGATCTCCCATATAAATTCAGAGGAAATAATGAATCCTATGAGTGTCTCCAAAGGAGACTATGTCCCCAGAGAGTGGTTTAGTTTGATAGTGTTGACTTTTACATCATTTACATCTTCCTCTTCAAAATACTTAGCTACTTGGCCAAAATTAATTCACTTCATGTTATGAGAACAAATCACAAAAATAGATCCTTTTTTGTTGTTGTTGTTGATAACAGAAAAGAATGGAAAAACAGTTATGATAGAGAGGAAACTGCTCAAATAAATACGTGTTGAGACAGTCTTTAGGGCTTTGAGTAGGAACAGTTTCACTTGCATTTGAGCCCCAAATTATAACCTCAAGTAGTAAAAGAATACTTATTTTTCAGCAAACCAGCAACTCAAGGGTTAGAGATTAATATATAACTGATGGTGGAAAAGAGAAAAACAAACTCTTCAAAGATACTTCTGAAGTTTAAATAGTGTCAGGCTAAACAAAATAAATGGATATTAGCTGCAAAAATTCCATATTTCAGAACCAAAAGACTAAACTGGGTTTAGGGGTTATTCACCTCCAGAATGATCACACAAGGCCCACTAAGTTCTTGAACAATAGTTACTTATACTGGGAAATTATCTCACCTTACCATCTTAACACTGGTACTATTAAATGATAAGGTCCAAGGATGGCATGAAAATAGCTCCTCAATTTTAAAGGATTATATCTTATTCTTCCAGCACAGTTAATCAAATCTGTATTGGTCTACATTTTTGAAAAATCATTTAAATACTTTTAAATTTTTAATTCATCCAAATAGCATTGTAAGAAATCTATGATAGTTCAACTCCTGTGATAACAAAGAAAGACAGACATGCAGGACAGATTCACATGTTTACAAGGTTGAATTTTATCTG